CCCTAAACACTACATTTACTTAATTGAGTTCCATCAAAAGCCTCCTTTGAGCTTTTCTCTTTGCAATTTTTGTTTCATACTTGTTCTGTATTTGTACATTATTGTCACCATAATTCCATTTTCAATAACAACCCCCATCATTTGAGTATTCTTACTTATACTGTATAAATATATACATCTTTACTGTACTCTATATACTATTGTTAACATATGTGTACCCTTTCTTGCAACATAAGGGTCTGGAAATAAACACTCTGTGCATTATTACCAACAGTCCGCATTTGGTTTTATGGCCAATTAGACCTAACCCTCAATTCTATTTTATGAATCAATTGCTGTTTGTTTGTCATAGTGTGTAGCCCTAAATAACACAATTTGCCTGAACTGTTCTATTATAGTGTGCATTTTTGCTTTGCTGTTTCATCAACTGTTATTAACCTATTTAATCATAATATGTTCCTGTGGATACCATAAATTGATGCTGCCCTTGATTTCTAGTGGGTCAGAACTCATATGTTGTCTAGCACCAAGATTAATTTATTACCCTCTATGTCAATATTTGGAAACAAATATAACTCATACTGTACTAGGGGATTTATCATATATGTTCTATATTTCTGTGGATACCATAAATTGTGGATGCCCTTAATTTTTTGTGGGTCATAACATAAGTTGTATAGCACCATGGTTAATTTATTACCCTCTATGCCAATATTTGGAAACAAATACAACTCATACTGTACTAGGAAATTTCTGATATATGTTCTGTTATTTACATTGATGAGTTCCATTGAATGCATTCTTTTTGTTACAATCTTTGCAAATTTTCCTCCCATACTCATTCTGTATTGTACATTATGACACCACTAATCTGTTTTTATTGATTATCTCATTTTTTGTGATTTATTCATGTTGTACCAATTTATATTTATATTTACTGTGCTCTATATACTACTGCTAAAATATTATGCACACTTCCTTCGTCACATGGGTACTGAAATTATACAGTGACAATTCCTTGTTACTTATAGTATGCATGGGTTAATATGGCCTATAAGAAGACCCCACCTTAAAAATTTAATGAACTCATGCAACCTGTTTATGCAATATTTAAAATATAATTAAACTTGCAGTGTGCAATCTTAAATGACATGTTTTTCCTAACCTGATATTTCTTTATAGCGTGCAATGTTGTTCTATTCAACCATCAACTATTTATTAACCCGTTTAATTCGTTAATCATACTGTACTTGTCTTAGTTGTCCATCACTTTCATAATTATCCAAATGATATAAGAATTATCCTATATGTTTGATTACTGTTATATTATTTCTTTTGAATATTGTATTTATATAAATGAGATCTTTTGAGTGCCTTTATTGAGCTTTAATATTTACAAATTTTCCTCCTATAAATCATTGTGATTAGGTCAGTTTGATCACCGCATTGGTACATTTACATTGATAATGACCATGCTGAAAACCTCTTGAACGCCCCAACTATACTAGATCCAGGATGGAGTGTAATTATTTTTATTCCCAGTACTCCTCTCAAATCTATTTTTATCAATGCGGACCCTACGAACAGTAATTTGACTGACTTGTATACATCACCCAAAGGCTCAAGTTTTTATTAGCAAAAAATATTTCTCATAGCATTAAGTCAGCAAACATAGATATAGTTCGAGTTATGACATTCCCTATAAATATATGTCCTATGAATATATAATAGGGGGCACTCAGTCTTCCGCATTATCAAGTCCAACATTCCTCAGATGTGTATAAATTTTCTTCTTGCCAACACATGCCTTTCAATGAAAGCTTTTCTCCCAATTGTCATCATAAAAGTTCATCATTAGGTTTTTGAATGTACTTGACGTTGACAATGTGAAAGTTTTATTTATTTTTTGCATAAGTTGCTAAGTGAAATTTTCCCAGACGTGACCAATTTTCGTGATCATGATTTTCAGAAGTGGTTCTCAATCTTCTCCAAATCTTTTCTGTAACTGTTTTCCACACCGCTGCTCCTTCCAAGCTCCAATGCACATATCCCATGATTTGTTATCAGCTGGCATGTTGAACAAAAATTCCACCTAACTCAATATTCGATATCTATTTAGGATGTCATTATTTTCTGTATTTCTTCTGTAATAGAAAAATTTTTTTTTTTTTTCAATTTTCAAGAATTCTCATATGCATAATTAAAATAGTGAATATGGGGGGAGCTGACTCTGATGACCGTATGGTCGTATCGCTCCTCCCAGTCTATACCGAAAAACTATACATTTTTATTGTTGCTATTGTTTCAGTGTTGTTGTTTTTTTCTGGTTGACGAAAATAAATCTCTCTCTCTCTCTCTCTCGTATTGCGATTCCCTGACGTCATCTATACAGAAGATGATTGATTAAGACAACCTTATCTATCGCATCCATGCAATCAGTCATTAACAAAGTGTTTCTTTGCATTGCAAGCGCCTCGACAGGTATCGACTAAGAGAGATCATGTCGCCTTATTGGAACTTGTTGCGGGAAATGATGGTCAATAAATAGCTACGGCCTTGCGCAGTGTTCAATAATCGATCGTTTATTTTTTCCCCATACGGAAAATACACATTTCATATGTATAGTGCAGAAAATGCAATTCAGAACCAAATAAGACTGCACGGGTTATCAAGAAACAAAACCTAATATGTACAGTAAGTTCCGGCTTTATCTACAAATGAACCGCACCATGAATAAAACATATTTATCATTGCAGATATGAAAGTCTCATAAAAATCACATCGCTGGAATGACATACTCGAACTAGTTTCATTTATAGTTTTGGAATTTTCTCTTCACATACAATTGAGGATTAAAAATTACGTAAAACTAATAAAAAAAAAATTGGGGAATTGAAATACCAAACAATACATTTTAGAATTTAAATAAATAAAGACTCAACAATAAAATCCAATTTCTCTCAAGTTCTAATATTGACTTAAATTGTTTCCGTTGTGACAACATAAAACAATATTTACAATTTGAAATCACATTAAAGAAGAGAAAGAATTATTGATTGATTGAAAAATTACTGGAGTTGAAACAAACACTGCGTTTTGGATATATGTAGTCTCCAGAATGAAATCCAACTACTATAAGTTATATTTACTTAAATTTTTTTCGTTATGGCAATGTTAAATAATATTTACAATTTAAAATCACGCTAAATAAGCAAAAAATATTGATAGATGGAAAATTTTAGGAAGAAACATTCAAAGCGATAAAATTATTTTGCATTGTTCGAGCGACACAATAGTGCCAAGAATCGGTTAACAGTGCATTACAAAACAAACATTCAGTATTTGTCATTTATAATGCTGAAACATGCAAAAAACTTACCTAAACGTGCGAAAGTCTTTTCATTTTTACATTTAGTGTAAGATTTCTAACTCCTCATAATGAAAAAGTGCTTTCGAACATCGATCAGATTTTCAAAGCAAAATTTTAAAATGCTGTTTCAAGTCATATTCTTTTATCACCGACTCAACTTGCTGTCATATCAAGCAAGCGTTGTGGTATTTTTCCCTCCCACCTCCAGTTGAAATTATGTTTGAATTAGTCAGCTTTGTTTTTAAATTCATGTTTACAAAATTCCTTACAAATAACTGCGGATTGATTAACGAATGTGAGGTAAGGGAGGAAATTACTAAATTTTCTGGCATATAGGAAGCATTTTATGCAATACTGTTTAGACTCGTTACAATAAACACCCAGCATTGATTATGTTGTTAGGCCATACCACTAATATTTAATTTTCAGGCATAGCCAACCTAGACTAATAGAATCCGCATTCGATTTTTAGCTTTCTATGATGCCAAAATTGTTAGCATATATTCTCGACCAAAAAGATATAAAGCCAGATAACAATTCAGACCAGAGAACATCATTCAACTACTCCAGTTAGCTCCGCTAACCATAAAACTAGTCAATTCAGTTACTATAGCGATGTAACATTATGTTAAAAGAATTTTCCGGGGTAATTTTATGACGAAACAACACAAAATGCGATTTTTTTGATTAAGTGGCCCGCGGGCCTGGGTTTGGACCACCCTGGTATATCCCATCTAGTCTTTCAACAACTTTCCAGAATTCAATTTCCACGAATTATTCTTCAATTTTGTGTTTGTACGGAATTCTCTAATTAAAACTTTTCACTTCGCTTGCAAGGCTTTTCAGATGCAAAATCTGTTTATAATTCTGGTCAAAGCGAGGTACCGAACCTTAACTATCAATGGAATAAGTATTTGCAGGAGAGCAAAAGGCAGTCACTGCGGTGCAAATATACATACATTTGAATACTCTGGTAAAATAGAATATATTTTACATGTACAAGGCAGATCCAACGGAGACGGTACTGGTTATCGAGCAACGACTCCTACTATGTAAAAAAAAGTTCCGGATTTTATCTACAAAAGAGTTGCACCATAACTAAGCGCGACATGCACGACCTAATTTTATTTTTAGTTTTATAATTTTCTCTATCGTGAATTAAATTTTACATAAATTTGATAAAGAAAAAATTGGGATAATGAAACAACCATCACACAAATTACTAATCTAATACAAACAATATATTTTACATGAAGTCTCAACAATGAACTCCAAGCACTGTCAAGTTCTAATGATTTGTAAATGATAATTACAATTTAAAATCACATTGAAAGATCAAAAATTATTGATAGATTGAAAATTACTGGAGCTAAAACAAACAATTGCATTCTAGATATATTTAGTTTCAACAATGGAATTCAATGACTCTCAGGTTCTAATATAGACTTGAATAGTTTGCGTATAGCTTAATAAAATTACATTCACAATTGAAGATCAAATTATTAATGAATTAAAAATTCGCTGTTCAAACCAAACCCGCTGATCAGTAAAATATATAAAATATCAAAGTTATAGTTCAATTATAGTAGAGTCAAAACACCTTGGTGTTCGATGGATATTCAATCCTCTACTAGGAAGGAACATTCAAAGCAATAGAAGCATAGTAATCCTGAATGTCTTTTCCATCCATTGTTTCCACAACTTTCCAGGAGTTCACAGCGGGATCATATACTTCTATTGTATTCTTGGAATTCACTCTGCAACCCAATCAAAGTATTAAAAGCAAACTCAAGAATTGATATATATAGTCATACATTGGTTAAATTTTTACATGTTTCATTAATTTTCATTTATATGACGATTGCACAAATGATGGCTAAGTAGCGATGCGACACACTTCAAGTTGAATTTCTGTTTTACACAGTGATATCCACGCATGGAATCACCCAATAAATACATACAATCCAATAAATATCTTAGTTCGTGAACCAAGTTCCAACTCACCCTCCAACAGCAAATATTTTTCCTTCAACGACACAGGCTTTGAAACTGTATTTTGAATTGCTTAATCCGGCAACAGTGGTCCATATTTCAGCAACTGTGTCAAAACATTCCACATTGTTTAACCTGATATTGTTGTATCCACCTTGTAAAACAATAATAAAGATGAAATTATCTGATAGTTTTTTTGGATCGGCATCGGCGATTTGCAATATTTTGGCTTTATACAAGTCAACTAGTGGTATGATGCCGATATGACTTGAAATACTGTGTTTTATCATTTTCTAACTGCCAAACCAGAAAGATTTTGGACTTATGGGGAACTCATATCACATGAGAAAATTTCGAATTTTTGCAAGTAGTTTAAAGTTATTTTGCATTTTGAAGTGAGTTTGAAAAAAAATATGAAATTTACAAAGCATCTGACCAGTGAAGCGATTACCTAAGCTACATTGAGTAAAAAGTTAGCTTTCATTTCCAGAAGACACGTACACTTGAATAGCTACTTATCGAGCAACTGAATTGCAGTGTAAGTGCGAGCCAAAATGCATTGAAGAAAAAATCCTCACCCATGACATAAATCTTCCCATCAAGTTCAACTGCAGCAGGAACTTGTCTTGCAGTCGGCATTGAAGGAAGTGTCGCCCATGTTGAATCTGATGAATTAAATTTCATTGCTTCAGATAGATTTCCACCTTTGTACCCTCCAATACAGTAGATGAAACCTAAATAAACATTCAAATAAAAATTAATATAGAATCATTAGAAATGATATCACTATGTTCAGTAAGTTGAGACTCTCTGACACAATTTCGATGCAATCAAGTTCTTACATCACATCTCATATATGAAGCATATACCGGGTGCTTCACTGAATTCGAGCTTCCGACTCGACAACCTCAATTTAGTTCAATCATTTGCCTTCAAGACACAAGTTTTATACTTTCAAGTATGATTTTAGTTATGAAATCAATATCATGTTAAAATTATGCGCAATAGAACAACGATAATGTATAATAATATTTGTGAATATAGAAAAGACTATAGGCTATTCCATTTTATAAATTTTAAATGAAACGAAGGTCTTTTACGTTATACTGAGCGAATTAAATTGCTAAAATGATAATTTTAAATCGGTTACTCTTTAAATTATTCTTTAAATGAAGAAGATGAAATATTCAACTAATTTCCACAAATCATATTTAATTGTTGATTCGTTTTAGACATCTCTAGTTTCAGGTAATCTCAATTCCGATCAATATCATGTCGACTCGAGACAGGCATCAGTAGTAGTTTTGCTAAATAACTTGTACTTCAATTTGGCGTAATAAATATATGATACATTTCCAAATGGCGCCTCTGACATTTTGAGTAGCAGTTTAAGCACTTTCTTTGTTGCATCAGTTCACTTCCGATACAGGCTATCAAATACCCAAACTACTACTCTACATGTTTGCTATACAGACATACCTCCTATAGCAACCACTGACATATAATATCCTTCCACAGGTTTATCAGTGACATGTGACCAAGTTCCATCAGATGGTTCAAATTTCTCAACAGTTTTACTGGTGGAGCCATAATCATCAAATGCATAAATTGAACCTGGTTGTTAGAAAATGAATGCAATTATTCTAATGAAGGGGGTGAAGAAAAGAGAAATGAGTATTTATATCTTTCTTCGAGGTTGATTCCTGAGAGTTGACGGCACTTACAAATTTTAGATAGAAGAGCTAACTTTAGAGTCCAGAAGCTGCTATGACTTTGCGAGCTGTTTCAACCTGGAGGAGTCTTGTATTAGATACCCTTCTAAGTAGTTAGCTAACGGCCATAAATTCGGTCAACTTATAAAACATTGTAGATTTTCATGGGTTTTAGATTGGCCAAAATTAACTTATGTGCCAGATTGAACTATTTTTGCCCCAACTAACGAATGTTTTTTGAACAAAATTCAATGATTCAATTTAATACTTTCGATTTAATTTAAAATACATAAATCTGCAGTTGATAAAACACTGCATCATAATGTCTAGCAACCAATAAGTTCACTTGGTTTAAGTCATGATAATCATGGGCGATCATAGGCACATTGTCCAAATTTGGTTCCAAACTGAAATCAGGAATTAAACACATCCAGCAATCGATATTTATGATTTCAGTTAGCCGATATTGCTGCAGATCATATATCCTAAACAGATCCCATGTCATATGGAACATAACTTTTGTGCAAATCATCCTAAATTACTGAAACTTTTAGTACAATCATAAGAACTTCAAGTGTTGAATAAATTTTCTTCATTTCAAGTCATACTAACCTTCAAATGCAACAGCAGCCACACGTTTCTTTGCCAATCTCCGATCTGCCAATCTAACCCATGTAGCATTGGTATCATTATATTTCAGTTGATAATTGGTTCCATCAAACACAAGAACATAGATGATGTTGCCAAGTACAACAGCAGTGAAGTTATTACCAATAAATTCATCACTGATGTCCTGTTGAATAGGATGTTGAATTTTTCTCAGTAAGATCGTGGTGTCTCATAACCATGTATTAGAAGTTAAAGTAGAACAAAACAGATTTTTACGCCAGCAATTTTATCGGTGTTCATGACAGAATCATGTCTTCAAACTCTACTCTACGGTATAAATCCACTAGTCAGGCTGAAAAGTGGGTGTCTGAATCAAAGCCTCAAAAACATTTGTTGCAAAAACATTAATTTGTTCTGAAGTTTTCACGAGTATAAATTTATCTGATCTAGGCATTATAAATTCAATGAGTCACCTGGACTCCGTAACTCCATGTAATTTGGCGCGGCAATGTGGTTCATCGTGCTAAACATTAGGAATACGCTCGCCACCGCACCTCTGATTACTCTGCGTGAGTACGCAGGTTCGAATCCCACGCGAGGATGGTTATTTGTAAAAGTATTGCTGGACTCCTCGCCGCCATAGAGTGGTACACGTAACCGCTGGTTGGTTACGGCTTCCTCCACCATCGAGTTCATGCTTCCGAAAAAATAAATAAATACCTAATCCCATACCTGACATGGGATAGTAACTGGATGAGAGGCAGTGGTTTTCCATATGGTTAAGCCTTCTTTTTGGCTTTCCTTTCCCCTGGGATAAATATGCAAATCCTATCCTAATTTGCTCACATAGAATGCCACTTATATGGAACCGGGGTATATCCACAATCATATTAAAAGTTGAAACGTTTCAAAGAGAAATTTAATAGCTTATTTTTTGGAACTTATCTTCTATGCAGCGCAAGTCATTATTTTTGTCAAAACTTGGTTTAAGCCACATTCGGTATTAATCATGATCATTTATATGTTAATCACACAAAGTGGACTTAAAATAGTCCAAATCTGACTGTTAGCAGGGATATTACAATATGGATCCTACAGCAAACAGCACCTGATGGATGATTAAAATATGATTACTTGAACAAGGGCACCAATTATAGAGTTAAACTGTACAAACCTGAAGTTTTGTCCAGGTTCTCACATTGGGACGAAATGCTTGAATCGATTTTGACTTTCTATCAAAGACAGCAATTGCTGGAATATTATAAGAAACTTCAGAACATTGGAAATTTTGTACATAAATAGAGAAATAGGAATTAACCTCTTGAGTTGCTTAGCCATCCATAAACTTACCGTTACTCGGCTGAACTTGATTACTAGTCGGTCTAGGATCTGAAATAGAAAAATGATATGATATAATGAGTTTCATTTGCTTGATGAAGCTAAACTGAAACATGTATTATGTGGAATGAGAATCTACTCTATTGTTGCTATTAATTCTCGACTTCATCTTCTTTGAGCATCTGACAAAGGGATACTTATGAATCCAGCAGCACAAGAAATGTAGCATCAAGAACAATTTGTCACATGACCCGCAACCATAAAAAGTAACGACTTTCAAAAATATTTTCAAATAATAGTGCATGGGTTGAGGTTTTATTAGAATGTGTATGGTAATAAAATATTTTAGAATTTATATATTTTATAAACAGTTTCACAGTATTATAAAAATCAACCAGTATACATACTTTTGATGTCAATATCCGAAGCAACAAATTGTGATCCGCCAGTCAAAATCTTCAAAAGTGCTCTGAGGCAACGATTAGAGTCAAAGACCAAGGGCTGATTAACAGAATTAAATTCATTTATGGTGAATATTCAAAACTAAATTATAAAATCTGTCGGTATAGTCACACTCGAGTCCGTGCATCTGGCGTGGTGAATTGGTCTATTGTTACTACAATCTTGTTCGAGTAGTAACAAAACAACAAGAGGATTTGTTTCACCACAAGTCTACATGGTCATAATCGGCTTTTATTTTTCTCTCTTTTAAATAGGAAAATTCCACTCGGATAAAAAATTAAAACTAGAATCATTCTCATGCAGAATAGTTTATTCAATCTATTGTACCCTGGATAGGTTCAAAGTTATCAGTCAACAAATCAAACTTATTGAAAGCAAAAAAAAATCAAAGTTCAGCCCTTCTAAAACTGACCGAATTCGAGTTCAAAATTTCTAGAAACTATCATATTTATAAAATCATTCACCGACCTCTTTCTCTATCAAAAACTTTTGGTAATTCCCCGTTATTTTCGTCAAATCTAGATTCTGAAATATTTCTCCAAACGTCGATGCACGAGTCTCTGAATCGAACTTAGTCCAGATGATCAAAGCTTTGCACTTGACAGCTTCAGAGGCCTACAATTTAAAAAAGCAAACTTATAAATTTGCAGAAATGATTCGAATCTGGCCTGGATAGACATGAATGCACAAAGATGAATAATTAGAATCAATTATAACTTTAGATTTCCTAGATGGATCCTGGCTATATTGAATAATAATAACTGTATGAGAAGAGTAAGAGTTGATTTGATTTTTGGTAAAATATGCTTAAAATAATGCAGGATAAAGAATGAGACAATCTGAAAAAAAGTAACTTTAAATTCCTTACGTAGACTTCTTTCGATCCCACCAAAAAGGAAATATAATCTTTATCCAAATGTTTAAAATCATCGTCAGCTGCAATTGATTGAAAATTCTCCAAAGCATATTTGTTGCAACTTTCAACTAAACCAGTGCAGTTGAAAGTATTTGCGATCAACTTTGTTGAATAGAACGATTCTGGACTCAGTTCTTTCTCAAGAGATATTGCAATTTTATCACACATACCTGTGTATGAAACACATAATAGAAATTTCAAATACAAACTAAAAAAAAGCCATTTTCAAACTGGAGTTTCATTCAAGTATTTGCCGTTATCCATGTAACCTCTGAGTGAATTCAAAATGTCTAGTTTAACACTACGGTAAATATCCCATATTTGGAATTGCAGAAAAAATCCCGCATAGGTTTCACACATCACAATCACGCGTATTTTGAACAGCCAATATATTGCTGTTGGTTATCAAGGCAAATGCTTGATTGGGCGTTCAACTTATTACGAAATGACAATTTAAAAGAATTACCATAAAGCACTCACCTTGTAACTGGAGCATATGAGCGGTAAACATCAGCTGCTCACGCTCCTCACGAACAGGAGTGGGAAAATTACCAGTGTAAATTGATGCAAGTTTTCACACTTGAGTATTGAACTTGTTTCATTGCCACAATGCCAGTGCTGCTCTCAACATTCTGAAATATAGCACCATGGATTGAATTTATTCTCTGCAAGTTAAATCCCACTTTTCACATGAAGTCTAGCACCTCAGTAACAGATATATACACAACAATTTCGTCTGAAATTCTTGGTGCAGTTATGGTCAAACAATACTTTGTAAAAGGGTAGATATATGATGAACATTTTGTAATGTCTCATAAAATGGAGATCTAACTAAATTATTTTATAACATCTTATAAATTTTAATTATTAGTAATATAAAAGAACATCACTTCTATTTGTTCACAAATTTATGATGTAACACTTACTTCATGAGACAACATTGCACGAAAATAATCCGATCCTGCTGACAGAACATTCCTGTGTGCTGGTATTTTCTCATCGCCGACCATAATTGCGAAGTCACTATGCTCTTTGCTTGCTCTTTGTCTGTAATTGAAAGATGCAATTTTTGGACACGTAGTGGACATAACGATCGTTTCAATATTATGTTGTTGTTGTTCTTGTTCTTGTTGTTGTTCTTGTTCTTGTTCTTTGACACGTTTTTAAAAAGTCGCTTTTCTCTTTGATTACTGGACTAATTGCTTTGAAATTTTCAGTGGTTGAAGATGAAATTTTTCTCCAGAAGGCTATTACTTTTATTTATTTCAAATATTCCTGTTAGCTCTGTAAGATTTGTTTTTGTTTGCTATGACGTCACTAAACGTTCTGCGGATATCGGACGCCATTTTGTGTCCAACGGACCATCTTGCAATTTCAATTCACGCTGTCACAAGACAGGAGTTCTGGTACCGTAACACAGCGCGGTGACACTGAACTAACTCGTAGCTGTCAAAAGCTTGAAAATCCATACAAGTATGAGAAATAAAAAGATGAAACTTGGCAGGTGGGTAGAGTTGTGTTTCTTTTAACCATATTTGAAAGTTTCGCGTTTCTACATTTGAAGGAGGGGGAATAGGGGGTGTGCATTTCCGATACGTCGATAATATCTTTGTCAACCAATTTGCGGCCACCGTGTTTTCGTCTGTTTGATTGCTGTGATGTGGTGCTTTGTTTATAATTTAACGAGTTTTGTTCGAAATAACCGTGTTCTTGAAATATATGACGGTCAGAAATGCAATCAGAAGCCCAATGTTTTCACGCTGTCACAAGACCAACAATTGTCAACCAATTTGCGACCACCGTGTTTTGTCTGTTTGATTGCTGTATGGCTGCGTATGCGATAGTCTCGACGCAGCATAAACGATGATCAAGGCTTGAAATCCGTGGTCGCACACTGGTCGTTCGGTCGCAAATACGTCTTTCGAGTGCCGTACTTTGGGGATTTGTATAGCTTCAACCCTTTGTCGTAGAAAGTTAATACGAGGTTTAGCGTGTAGAATAAATGCCGCCAATGCACCCACGGTGAAAAAATTAACGGGTTAGATATATTGGTTTTTGTTTTATAGCGGTTTGAATGAAATTGTCCGCAGACTGGCTACACCACCCTAGGCCTGGTGAGTTGTCCGTGTAGTCGAATTGTCCATCAGCCCTAAACGGCTATGACAGTCACTGTACCAAAAATTGTACCCCGATTCGGCTGGTGTTAAGTTGACGCATGTTATTTAGTAACGTTTTTATCTGAAATGTTTGACTGTGGTTCGGTACCTGATCCGATAATACGGTACATAATTGACTCATATCACGAGATATTTCAACTGATGTTTCAATTGTCACAGGACCTAAAATATCTATGACAGTCCCTGTACCGTCACGGTACCCCGATACAGGTACTGGTAAGTCACCGCCGGTATGTTAGTCGTTGGTCACCGCATATGATTTTCGGGGAATTGTTCTGCGTGTCCATATATTTGAGCATTGCTCTCTTGTTATAATTGTAAACGTTTGTATCGTCTTACATTTGTGGCGTAATTGCATTCAATTTGCATACGTTGTATACTAATTGGCTACTCACTGAGTGAAGACGTTGTTCTGTATGCTGTGAGTTGCTCGCCAGTATGCTGAGTAGTTATAAATTTACATCCTATTGACTGGTATTGTTCAATTTGTTTTTAATTTTTGACACATATATGTCCGGTTATATGTTATACAACGGAAATGGCTGCGTTCAAGCGTCTGAAGATTTGATAAGTCTGTGTGTTTATAGAAAACGTGAGGTGCATACCAATACTATCGGACTGACCAATGTGGCGTTAAACATTCACATTAATTCTACGTACTTACTCGTTAAGGGCCATCATCATTTTCCCACAGTGCTTCAAATCATAAGCATCAAGAGGATTCATTTTTCAGTGTTACCTTAATTCACTATGTTACTGATCTGCAAATAATAAGATAAACATGACTTTTCTTTCCAGTTGTGCGGAATTCACTACTTTTCAATCGATTCCTCTCCACAAATATCAATCAAGTTTACCTCATAGGAGCAATTCTTTTCCATATAATTGCTTACATGTATGCCAAAATACAAAATAATTATAACAAATTTCATTACTACTTTATAATTCACCATTTTACATTATGTAACGCTGCTAATGGAACCTTTCGCGGATCAGTGATAGCATTAGATACTGCTAATACTTTTACAAAGTCTAGTAGATCTCATTGTCTGAGAACAAAGTACATAAATATATTTACACAATATCGCTGAGAGTCTTATTACTCGGTACCGAGCGTTGTATGATGAGTTAATAATTGACAAAAGTCAACAGACGTACATTGAGAATATGCCTAGTAAGTGGGACAGTGTTTTAAATGAGTAACGGGTTCATAGATATTTATGTATATCATTTTGAATCACATTCTCAGAAAAAAGGCTGACATGCAGTCAGTGAGACTGAGCTAAAAGACTCATTAGGCCTAAAAGTCAGGATTGAAATGAAAAGATTTTGATAATAGCAGTAATCTATTAATGAATGAAATAAATCCCGAGATACATATTGTGAACTACCGTACTTCTTTAACAGACAATAAAATAGATAAATATGTAATCCCCATATTTGATGTTAATACGGTGTTAGTTGGCATATATAGGTGGGCCCACAGCTACTACAGTCACTCTTACCTAAGTTAGGCATTTAGGAATTTTTGATACCAATTTTTCACAAAGTATGCAAACACCACAGCATTTGTCTTAGGTGAGTAAGGTATTGAACATGTATCCCGTCTTGATTATACCGTTTCATTATTATGTATATACTGTTACAAATAAACACACATACATTTTAAAATGAATTCATGCTAAGAACAGGCCAAACTACTGTTAACGAGCAAAATTTTCCCCTCGTTAGTTTGCGAGCACTCCGGCGCGCTAAGAAACTTTGATGAATACCGATTCTCGGTAAAATGAGAGAAGAAGGCACTTTACGAGACGTATGTTTTGGCGCGCAAAAAATTCTCTCGAACAATTTCTCTGGAATATTAACGATACTTCGAGAATACCATTTTGCTATTTACGAGAAAGTGGGTCCTTTACTAACACGTTAAACGATAGAGAAGTTTGGCGAATGGCGCCCCTGGTCAGTTATGAAAGTAGTTTAACAGTTAAAGCCGCTTCCAACCCCCCACACGAGATGAAATACATTTGATAGGCAATGAAAAATTTCCGCTCTTGCTAAAGTTAGTAGCTCTTTTCTTGTCAGCGGAAGCTTTACAGTTTATAGTATCATTCTATCGAAGATATGAAAAATTGACCATCGCTTCATTACATGTATTATTTAGTTTACAGTGAATTTTGATACTTTGTATTTAATCAAAAACCCAGCATATTTACCTTATTCAACCAACTTACTTCATTGTATATTTTGCTCTTCATGAAGAACAATGCATATGTGATGCCACGGCTCCATATCCTAAGTATTTTTGTAACACTCTTCATGTATGAAATCAATCATGTTTATCTCGATTTGGCTCAGCGGCTCATTGGACTAAGCGTTAAGAATATGCTTGCCACCGCACCTCTGATTACCCCGCGTGGGTTCGCAGGATCGAATCCCATGCGAGGATAGTAATGTGCGAGAGGATTGCTGGATTATTTTTGTAATTATGTGTCGCCCTAAACACTTCAAATTTTTTTCTTATGACCAATTATATATATAGATTAGATTAATTGGAATTCACCAAAGCTGAGGAAACACATCATCATTATTCATGCCGTAAAATTGTTAACGAGTCATTGACACTAATAACACACATAAAATTTGTGTAATTCAATGCCATTGCGATATAATAAATGACACAAGATTGAAGACACAATGAGGATTATGAGATTCATCACTACTATATGACTATTTATATATTTGCGAATTGCTCTCACGCTAATAATCAAATCTATCCTGTTATAGCCCCACCACTAATTTGTTTGATTTAATTTTTATCTCAGTAGAATAAGTTTTATTGAGTCATTGTCCCACCTTTCTATGCTTCTCTTATGTTGTTCAACACTTTTGCTTACCTAACTTAACCCTATCTAACCTAAGATAAACTGAATCAAAGAAAACATATAAGTAAAATTAGTGGCAAGGCAATAACAGTATAGTAACTGATAAACAAATTATTTGGTCATGGTTTAATAATTTCAATTGATAGGAATTGCCCAATGATACTAAAATATACTCCACTCCTGAAATGAGAATAGCTGGCTGTCTGACCAGAAATGCTATTATAAAGGAGTCGATATCATAATAGAGTACATTCATCTCAGAACCCTTGAAAGATTCCAAACAAAATAGCAATGGTACTGTAATAGGGATATTCTGACCAGTTATGCTTCAGTGATAATCTAGTGAATTAAAGAAAATGAAGAATACGATCCAGACCTGAAAATTACTGGCTTGCAGCAGTTTTCAACAAATCCAAATATAGCATTCAATTCGAATTATGACATACAAACTAAAAACTGGTTTACAGAATATTCATTGCTGAATAAGAGGGTAATAATTCTGCCAGTTTTATTTGTATCACCCTTTTGAATAGGATACACTATTTTTAAGGCACAATAAAATGCTGTAGGAGGGCGTAATATCATATTTCATAAAGTTATAAAATTACTCAATCAAATTTCAAGAAATGATAAAACTAAAGTAAATACTCCGTTAATAAATTCATAGCGATTTACGAAAAATATATGTTATTTTCAAATTTTGGTAATAAGATTAGATAGACTTCTAAAAAACTGACTATGTTACTGATTAAGCAAAATATAAAGATTTTATCAATAAATAAATTATTCAAACTAAGAAATTTAATTTACTTAATGACACCACCCAGAAGGTATATTATGTCGCATTATGATTCAGTGCCATGATCTGGCATTATTAGACATTCATTATTTAGTTTTTGAAATATTCTGAATCCTAATAGTTTCCACCAATACCATAGGTATATAATATCTAGGTTTATAGTCCACACTAACTTTTATTTGTATAAACTTGCTTGGCAGAATATTCTTTGTGTATTATAAGTGTAATAATTCTGTCAGCTTTGATGCATTTTTCTAAAGCTTACGCTAAAAACAGGAAGATTCGAATGCCCTATCGCAGTTAGGTACTACATTGCATGAGATCCTGAATAAGCTCAGTCTAATTTAAATGCAATATTAACAAAGCAGTAAATTTACATGAATTTCTATGTACTTACTCGTTCAGCGCCATCATCATTTTTCCACAGTGCTTCAAATTATAATCATCAAGAGTTAGATTCATTGTTCAAGTTCCAGGTGATTAGAAAGAATTAACTAAACTCACTATGTTACAGATCAACCACAATAGCTTGATAAATAATAGTTCTAGTTGGAGGAAAATGTGCTATCAGAAAAAAAATTTCATGCTAACTACATTTTCAAAATTCTGCATGGAAATTACAATGCAAAGATTATTTATATTTCTGGACTAACATTGCATAACTGAAACTCGTACTTAATTAGAACATTGATTTTACATCATCGCCAAAGCATGACAAAACATTCAATCATATTCTTGGACATTTGCATTTTTATATACAAGATAATGGAGAAATGGCCATACATTAAGTGTATCTGTCGGCTTTTAGGGATAACTTAAATATTTTGGCAAGAATTTCACTGAAACTTAGTATGCTGATTACATTTTAAAAAGAAAACAATGCAAAAAGAAATGAAACTATTGCATTTCAATTTTTCGAAAATTAAAAACAACTAAAATTGTTTTACCATGACAGTTTCAGTATAATTTACAAAAACCACACAACAACAACCAACTCAATATATCTACTATAAACACACGACAAACAGGCAATCAATATAAAATATTGCCTAGTCTTAGTAGCCTCACTAGCCTGCATGTAACCGTACCGGTACCTCACCCATGAAATACTATCCCAGTCAAAATACTATAAAGTCAAAAAAGCCAAAACTATATCACCTACATCTATGGTGATTAGTTATCACTACACATAGATTGTTTGTAGATTGGTCTGGTTTATGTATTATAACCCCAGCATTGACTGACAATAGTTTTTTGTCTTGCGTTCGTTAACTCGAACTGTGTATCTGTCGATAGCCTTCGGCTGTAGTAAGGAGACGTTTGAAAACACATTATGAGTTTATTGCAATTCCGACCAATATATACAGAAACACAATGTACACACAATTAGATCAAATCTAGTCTGATTAACACAAAACACATTGCTGAATATATAGCTTTCTACCAAGCAATTAAAATATAATAAAGAAACAGATTTTTACATTAACGATTAAAGAATCACGCCTCATTCCGGTTTCTGGTTAGCTTTCGGTTCACTATAATCAAACATTATTAAAAGTGTTTTCTTGAAGTTCATTACTAGCAATTAACTTGTCATTGCCAAGTCACCGTGTTCACGTACACACTCCAATTATGAGATGTAAAAAGTTGTTTCCAAGTGGATAATTTGGTTTTAACAAGATATATCGAATTTACGTTATTGGAATATTACTGGAAATGAATTTTATTTTTACATGGGATGGCACCGAAAGGCTATTAAAACTTGAAATTGGATTTTGAGAAATTGATAATTGCTATAACGGGAATAATTAATTCTGTTTTTCATGAGTTTCTCACGAATTGGGATAATTTGGTGTAGTTTTGTAGTTACATAATAACTAATTGGCTACATAACTCCCCCGCACGAGTTCGGAGAATTCTAAGGATGCAATTTGGGATGAGAAGGCGGAAATGAGGTGCTGTTTTCATGAAATTCAACTAAAAATAAAGAATAATATTCAAGCTGTATAAGAGTAGAGTAAATATAGTTATTCCTGAGGTAGTTATACATGAGGTATATTATTGGTATAGGTATTGATGTATATGCACAAAGTAATTCTTTGTAAAACACATGCTAGAAAGAAATTATGTTAAAGTATAATATGTACAATATGAGCATTGCTATTCGACTAGTCTGCCAGACTAGGGTATAAGTTCGAATTGGATCTATTATTGAGATTTGGTTGATGGATTTGACCCCCCTGATCTTGTCTATTGTTTTGCACAAGAGGTTGAGGTGGTTCAACAGGGTTCACTTGTTCCCTACGAGCAGCCAAGTATTGCCGAAGCCGTTGTATTCTAGGAAGTCCTTCATCTCTCAGTTTTGGGCAAAGTTTCTTGATAAAACAAACGGTCCAAATAGTGGCCCAAATGAGAGATAAATGGAATGGGAGCATATAAATACCCGATAAAATTGACGTCTTAATGAAGGAGAGGGCATGAATAAAAGTGTCTTGCACCTAATGTGAAATAGCATCAGTGTCTGATGTGCTATCTGCATTAGGTAGGGTTTGCTCACTTAATACTCGTTCTCGAATAAGGTTAATGTGGCTGATTGATAATAACATATTATTAATATCATCATAACCCTGGTGTCCCCTTGGTAATTCGTTATATGCTTCAGTGTAATTGATAGGATTAAAATTGTCGACAAAAGGCTTGAATGTGGGTCTCAGAAATTTTACATGCATATCCGCATGATTTAAAGTATAATTGACGTAGGTATAGAACCGATCGTCAATTTGAAACGTAGATATACGACCAGGCGTATAATTTTCAAAAAAATGAATACCCACATAAGCGTTAGAATCAGGGAATATTTGTGCAATGATCGTTTCATTGCTATTATTAATAAAATGCACTAAAGTCGGGTAGCATATTTACCCTGTAAAAAGAGGTTCCTAAGAACGGTAACGTTAATACGTTGGCATTCAATTTCGGTCAATATATCACCCATGGTGATAGCTGCTCTGTTCCCACCTAGTAACTGACTTAGGATCTTACCGGGGTATTGTTTAGACAGGAGTTTAATATTAGTGGTTAGAATACTTTCAATTTGGCATTCCAAATAATTAATATCTGCTGTCAATTTGTTTATTACCTCGAAAACTCTATCAGTGCTTTCTCGAATAAACCCAATTAGAGCAGAACATTCTGAAAAATTCTTTACAGTATAATCGTAATTAAAGGCGGGATATTTAAGAGTAAAAAGGGATGAACCATCAAGTGCAATGCATTGTTGCGTTTCGAATAACAAACCATTATTGGTACAAAAAGTATCAGACTTAAAACATCTTTTAACTGACTTGCCACATGAACCCCAGTTATGGATTGATTGCCCAAGTTTTGGAAAATCTAAGCGGTAAATCTGATTAGAAGAATTATAATGTAAAATAAGTTCAGTAACAGTTGTTTGGTATTGAGGGCAATCAATTAAAGGGTGGTGTTTCCAAATTAAAGTTTGACTTCCTAACGTGCATGACCCAGTTAATATGTTGCAGGTGGAAATTGAAGGGAAAGCACCTAACATTACGCCATGAAAAGGATCATACGAAATTTGAATACGGGACAAATGAGCATTGATCACTTGTCCGTGTCTCGAGGATGGCCAACTGTAAGTAACTGTTGCCTTGTTTTTAGTGGACCAAGTATTTGGGGAAGTGGGTTCTAAATCTCCAATATTATCAGCTTTTAACGTGTGTACCCAATCTTCACAATATAAAGGGGTGGGTGGTTCTATCATGGTAGAAGTCAGTTTACTCGAATGTGCACCAAAGAAAAAAATAATGACTAGACCATTTAGTAGCAGACTTCTGACACACATATAAAGTAATATTTGTATAGCTAGAAGATAATTCATGTACCGTAACAGAGCATTGCTCAATGGTTTGGGGCGTCTCCTTAGTACAATTATTTGGCTTCTGAATAAAGTATTCAGCTTTGGGTCTATTGGGGTGGCATAGGTTTACTGCAACTGTTGGAGTTGGTAAAGCAGATTTAAAGGGCAGACTAGACGAATAAAAAAAAAGATACATACAGATTGCGAGGCACTTAATAGTAAACATAATCGTCTCTCTGCGGCGGTCTAGTTGTCCTTCCGTGTCGAGTCCTTGATTTTAATGATCCTGAACCTTGTTGATTGCTATTAGTTTCCTCGTTGTGTCTTGTTTTGAAAAATCCGAGTTTTGTCTGATTCGATTCGCTTGAATTGCCAATTGGTCCACTGTATTGTCGTAGTTTGACGCCAAAATATTTCTGATAGATGACAGGTAACTTTTCTAAAAATAACTTCTTGAGCAGGCTGTTAGCAAGAGTTTCCTGCAAACATTCAGGTCCGATTAAAAATTTCAAACGTTTTAGCATTTCAGAAGGCATTTGATCTCCTAGTTCGGAAGTGTGCAAAAATGCAGTCAATCTCTGATCTTCCGTGGGTGCAGATTTTGTCAACAAAGCTCACTTAAGCTGAACATATGGCCTAACTCCATGTATCTCTAGTAAATCCAAGCCAATTCCATCGATTACACTGACATCGACCTGCTGTCTGCTGACCTGGCGTAAACTGGTTGGATAACTTTGTGTAATGCATATTTACAGTATTTAGCCTGACAACTGCAGCTCTTGATTTACAAACAAGGTTCCAGACAACAACAGCACGTGCACCAGCACGTCTTAAATCTTTTTTAGATTTTGCCAACTTTCCTGATTTTCCGTACATTTGTTTGTTTTGCCATGTATTGTTTTGTTGTATTGGAAAATCGAAATAAACACTTGCTCACTAACAGCGGATTCTGATGTATCAATACGGGGGATTCCCCGTCTAGCAAACAGTCGTGATTATTCATGAATGAGTCAAAAACCGGTCAACTACGCTCATGATGTCGGGTATTTTACGTTATTAAAATACTGGTCGAAAAGAGGTAACTGAAGAATACAATTGTTCGTATTTATCTCGGGGGAGGGAAAAATGTCTTATTTGTTTATCATAGGATGACCTAAATTTTAAAAAATAGTGAAATTGCCCGACGGGATGTTTAACTATACTCGCAGTATTTTTGTGGACATAAAAATCCAAACTATAAGACAATTATTTTACTTAACATTTATTTCACTAGAAATTGCACGAACAAAAGAGCTTTCTTGGCTTCATCGAGTTTCTAAAATCGTGGCGTAGTATTAATCAAGCATAGACGCAATTCTTCGACTTTCAGTTGATTTTGATGCTGCGTTTTCAATACACACATTACACTAAATCCAGACTCAGAAATCAGGTTGTTTGCGATGGAATTAACTATTGAATGACAAAGTTTGAAACAGCTGGCTACACTTCACACAAGGAATCTCAGAAGTAAATATATGCCGAACAACTTGGATACTTTTCTTTGAAAAAAATGATTACAGCAACAAAATGCAAATTTATCTTGACGGCTGTTTTGCGTCATAAACTTTTTTGCAACACGGCGGGATACTCAACAGACATTTTAATAAGGTTTCCAAATTTTAATACCAACTTCTGTGATGGCGATAGTATTTTAGTTCTGGGAACATGGACTCACCT